TGAATGGATCAATGATTCAATGGAACACTTACTGAGGTTTTACAACCAATTCTCAAAATTGTCTATTAAAAAAATTCGGGATTCTGTTTTAAGTACAGTAAGTCAGTATCTTTAGCTTTGCTAAAAGGAGCCTACTTTGAGAGATTTTACACTTGCAAGTTAAAATTCGATCAATCCCAGAATCAAGGACGACATTGTCAACTAGCCCACCTTGATTTTCTTCTTCCCCTGTATATCAAAATAGCCTTTGCAATTGTAAACCCTAGCATTTCCTTCTGAATCAAACAGCTTCACTTAATGGGTTCAGCTAGGGTTTCCCATCACATGTTTTGGCAACAGGCGTTTCCAGGGAAACTGTTCACACTCCTTTATTATCAGTTTCCAGGCAGAAACATAAGCTACTGGGTATTCTTTACGGGCCGTTGTACGAGAAAAACGATGAATCCGCCAAAGAACAGAGTATTTTTCTCAGCATTTTCGTTGAGGATGCAGAGCCATGTAAAAAGGGATTACTATACAAGAAAGTTGTCGGCTTTAAAAGACGCCTGGACAGAAATTCAGAAAGTGGCACGAAGGGATACTTCATCTGTTCTAAAAAAATCGTCCACATTGAGTTTTGAAATTTGTATTATTTTTCTGGGGTGGAAGGAGTATAATTTTGTAGGTTTTTGTCAGAACAATCATTTCACCAGACAGGGGGCCTGATCTCACTGGAATCGATCACTTCATTTTCTGTATGTTTGGCAGTATGGAATTGCAGGGTGTTCAAAGTTCAATCCTGTAAAAACCTCCTCCAGGTGTGTTCTACATTTTGCCTTGGGATATAAAAATGCTATCTTTGTAATTCTTTACATTAATTTGAATGTTTCTTCTTCAAGGATTTTGCGCATGTAAAAATGTCTCTTTCTTCACCTAATGGGTTTACCCCTTTCGGTTGCCTTCTCATCAACTTGCACTTCCAGTCACTTCGTTGGATTGCTATTGTCAATGGAAGAACCAATCATTAGCCTTTGACAAATTCAGGTCTTTCGAGTTCCAACTTCTTATAGCCCATTCACTTGTATGGCCATGGCCCCTGAATGAGGGTAGAATCACAGTTTCTCAACTCTTTCTGATGACATTTTCTCATAAAGGTTGCGACTTTTGAAGGCTGTTTCATTTGGGCTCCGTAGATTTCTATCTTTTTCTTGTTCAATTGATTAAAAACAATCTGTTTGCTAGTGTGGTGTTGTTGTAACCATTTTAAGTAAAATGTGTTAGATTTACCAAAACTTTTGTTTGATACATCAGGAGAAGCTCAAGTCAGAGAGAGGTCATTGTGTTCAGTTCTCAACAGGAAATTCTAGTCCACTGAGCTTCTTGTATACCCATTAGGTTAGGGGGCCTTACTCATTTTGTTGGAGAAAACAGCAAGCGCCGTATGCTCCCTCCTTCTACAATGAGTAGTCACAGGAATCAGCTTTTTGTGCTGATTATTTTTGTCCAAGCTTTGGTCATATCAGCTTACACAAATCCAGATGATTGTAAGTTTGTGACTAAGTTTGTTTAAGTTTTCTAGCTCGAACTTTGGCTTACTGATTAAAATTTTTATCTTCAATGAGGGGTGCTTTCTGTTTTTCGTATTTTATTTACTAAAGCAACTTTCCTAGGATGGTCTTTTGAAAAATCATATTCTTTTCCGCCTGAAGATTTATGTACTCGCTATTTCTGTGGTCATCAAAATTGTTACAGTTTCTAGTACTGAATCCATTGATCTCCAGTAATTATTTCTTTATGTATTGAAGTTTATAATTTTGCATTGAATTTCTTTTATAAGTTTTTTCTTTGAGCAAAGCTTGCAGAAATACTAGTTAGAAAAAGAATTAGAGATTTGTTCTGCATTATTGGACTATATACTAAACATTCTTATGCCATAAGTTTATGTAACTGAAGACAAATTTTCTAACCAAATTTATTAATGGGCATCCCCTTTTCGAAATGAATTTTTCTGTTGCTTAAATGAATTCTTCCGGTTAATGGTCTCATCCTGTTTCTATCGACCTCAAATGATTCTCCGGTTTTGGATTCTCATTTCTATTAAAAACTGTATTAAAAGCAAATATCCGAACATGACGATCATTTTGGGATAGAGTGTATTTTTGAGTAGCAGTTTTAGTGAGCAGAATCAAAATTGAATCTATGTTACAGATTATGCTATTAGCTCTCTTCAAAGCCTGTGGGGAAATGAACCACAAAGAAATTGGTCCGGTTCAAATCCATGTGAATGGCTCGGGATTGGATGCAGCAATGATCGTATTGTTTCCATGTAATGTTTAATTATTTTGGAGCTTCAGTTCTGTAATATAAACCTTTTGTCATCATATATTGAGAAGTAAATTGACAGAATGTTAGGAAGCATGGGTTTGACTGGCCAACTCCCGGACGAAATTGCTGGTTTATCTGAATTGCAGATTTTGTAAGTTTTCTATCTTCAGTTTTGGTATATGTATAGTCTGTATATTAATGACAGCATATTTCTTCAGTTTTAAACATTCCTTCACTCGGCATTCATCCTATTATGTGAATGGAACATGATTGTTAACACTTGGTTTTTACTGCTTGGCCATTAGGGATCTCTCATACAATCCAGGATTGACGGGATCTCTTCCTGGTGGGATTGGAAACTTGGCAAAACTGACAACCTTGTATGGAAACTTAAGACAGGTTTTTGAAATCATTACCTAGAAGGTTAGATCATTTGTTTATTCTAACATATGTTTGTTTCTGTTGGTATGACAGAAATCTCATCGGTTGTGGGTTTAACAACCCGATTCCTGATTCAATAGGATCTCTCAAGCAGCTTAGACAACTGTAAGGACCCTGATTAGAAAACTGAGCCATTGCTCTGAAAAAGAATTTCAGTTTGTAGCAAGGATTCTATTAAACATTTCTGTTTGCATCCTGAAAGATCACCTGGAGGAGCTGTGTCCAATTAAGTACCTGGCAATTTGCTGTCAGTCAATAATCTTAATCCTCACCATGCTAATTCAAGAGAATCGGTTGGTTAGAGTGTACATAGGAAAGTGGCATTATATTTTTCTTCAATCAATTAACATCTCTTGGGATTTTAAAATATCCCTAGACCAAATTTCTGCAACATAGTTTTAAAAAGGTAGTACGATTGCTGATGAAAGGAACGTAGCAGAACTATCGAGATTTTCAGTTATTTCCTAGAGATTATAGTTTGTTTGGCCTTGGCACAACATTTTATCTTACAAATAGTTGTGGCTTTATGTTGCATGATGAAGATCACTAAATTCCAACAAATTTATTGGACCAATACCGCCTTCGCTTGGTAACCTGTCAAATCTTGATTGGCTGGATTTAGCTGACAACAGACTTACTGGTAGCATACCCGTCTCAAGTGCAACTTCACCGGTTGGTCTTGATCAGCTTGTCAATACACAACACTTGTATGCATCCGTGTCTGAAACCATTTTGGCCTTTTCCTCTAAGTCTCTCTGTTTATGTTCAGAATGATCTAATCTGATTTTCTCAACATTGCAGTCATTTTGGGAAGAATCAACTGTCTGGAAACATACCCTCACAACTCTTCAGTGCAAATATGTCACTGGTTCATTTGTAAGTTCCCTTCCATACGAGCTGTAATCTTTTTAAATATGAGATGACAAAACATTTGACTTCAGAAGATAAGAGCAACCACCACTACTATTTCCTTTTTGTATAGCACCCAATAGTTCAAGTCTGGATGAAACCTGTTCCACTTAAGAGGCGAGATTTCTGCTTGTTTCAAGGCTTAAAGCAGTCAATTATCAGCTGAATTTATGGACTTCTAAGATATGATTATCTGCTTGTATATCACTATTTACCTTGGACTAAACGCTAGTGATCATTCACATCGATTTATCTAACTCTTGAATAAAACTAAAATACCTTGCAGAAATTTCATTGTTTTTGTTTCTGTTGCGATAACTTATCATGGGAGTTGGTGATAAATATTGATGCCTTTCATCCAGGAAAGGTGATAACAAGCTTCTTTCCGAATTCATATTTTGTTGCTCAATATGTTTACTTTGAGTAGGCTACTAGATAGCAACCAGCTGAATGGAAGTATCCCCGACTCCCTTGCACTCGTACGTACTCTTACAGCATTGTAAGTATTAAAATCTCATACTCATTTTTTATTCAATCTTTTATCCCTGATCTAGATTTCCGTTTTGTGTTTTTGACCTTTGTACTCGACATTTCAAGCAGACGCATCGACAATAACTCATTGAGTGGACAAGTTCCAACAAGCCTCAACAAGCTCCAAAATCTGCAGGACCTGTGAGTAGCATGATGGAATCAGTTACTAGAGTTTTGTTCCTTGACCTTGACTATGTTTTTACACACACTCCTCCATTCTGATTAAAAAAAAGTATTATTTTGTAGGTACTTATCAAACAATCATTTGACAGGACCACTGCCTGATCTCACTGGCATGGGTAAACTGAATTACCTGTAAGTTAGGGACAGCTAATCAAATCCGGGGCATAGTGTTTTTTCCCATCCATAAAAAATGATGCATTATGTTGTCCTTCTTGTTTCATTTTCTTTCTTTTTTCTTGTTGTTCTTACAGGGACATGAGCAACAATACATTTAATTCCTCAGATTTTCCTACTTGGTTGTTGACCCTACAATCTCTTACAACTATGTATGTTTCTCTTCCGCCGTACTTCAGAGATTTCTTTGTTGTTGGAGAATTGTCTGTGCCTTGTACAGCACTAGCTTGAAGCCTAATATTATGTGGGTGGCTTTTTCTTTTTTTTCCCATGGCTCCCTTCTGCAGAGTGATGGAAAACACAAATCTTCAGGGACAGATTCCAGGTGCACTTTTCGGCCTTCCGCAGCTGCAATCTGTGTGAGTTATATAAAATAAGCTATTTCTCGTAGCAGCATGCGAAAACTCTATACCTGTACTATATTGTGAAAGATTAACAAATGCACATTGCTTTTCCAGAATATTAAAAAACAATCAGCTGAATGGGACCTTAAGCATTGACGCCGGCTCTGACCTTCAACGCATTGATCTTCAGAATAATTACATTCAGAATTTTACCCCAAGTGGTAACTATCACATTCAAATCATGTAAGCTGAATTTGCCTTTTGTATGACATTGAAGGATGGATATAAATGGTTGAATCGTAGAAACTGACTTGTTATTGAGTTTCTCCCGTAATCTCACTTAACAAATATACCGTGCATCATTTATTGCAGACTTGCTGAAAACCCATTTTGTCAAGGCGGACAACAAAATTACTGCATCATCATTCCTCCAAATCCCAATCTCTCATACCCAACTTCAAGTAATAATTGTTTTGCAGCTCAATGCAAGCCTGATCAAACAGTTAGCCCCAATTGTATGTGTTCATATCCATACGCAGGCACCCTATTTTTCCGAGCTCCTTCATTTTCAGACTTGGGGAACCAAAGCCTTTATGATTCACTGGAACGGACAATGATGATCGCACTTACATCCGAACAGCTACCGGTGGAATCAGTTATAGTCTACAATCCATCAAAAAATTTAGACAATTATCTCACTTTCAATCTTCAAGTCTTTCCGTCTGCCCCATATCATTTCGATTATGGAGCCATTTCTAAACTCGCTTTCTTCTTTAGCAATCAAATTTACAAGCCACCCGATACTTTTGGCCCCTATTATTTCATTCCTCACAGCTATCAGAACTTTGGTGGTAAGCTTTCTGGTGCAAATCGGATTCTTTAGTTTATTGAGTTGGTTAGCTGGAATAATACTTTTATTCATTTGGTTAGCCTGTTCATTGACTGTTTCCTCTTCCTCCCCACCCCCCCGGTACTCCTTCAGGGTCAAACCAGTTACACGTTCGAACTGGTATCATTGTTGGAGCATCAGTTGGGGGTTCTGTCCTAGTTTTATTGTTAGTTATAGCTGGAGTTTATGCTTTCCGCCAGAAAAGAAAAGCCGAGCTGGCTGCTAAACAAATTGACCCCTTTGGTAAGTTTAAAGAAATCTCTACTACACTAGTCCAACCCTGTTGTGTTTTCACCACCCTACTTTCATGCCAACAGCATTATGGGACTCGACTAAAACCAGTGGTGGAGTTCCTCAGCTAAAAGGTGCACGTAATTTCACATTTGACGAGGTTAAGAAGTACACAAATAATTTCTCAGCAGCTAATGATCTAGGCTCTGGTGGCTATGGCAAGGTAGCTCACTTTTATCTTATCATAGTCCCTGCACCCACAAGTTTATAAAGTTATCTGTGTTTTTAGAAACAGATTTGCTGATTTTTTTAAGCTCAGCTTTTTGAAGTTTTGCTATACAGAGGAGCTTTATGAAGTGTTCTCAGAATTGCAATTGAAATATGCAGGTGTACAGAGGAGTTCTTCCCAATGGACACTTGGTTGCCATTAAAAGGGCTCAGCAAGGATCTATGCAGGGTGCTCTTGAGTTCAAAACTGAGATTGAGCTTCTCTCCAGGGTTCATCACAAGAATGTTGTGAGTCTGGTGGGTTTCTGCTTCGATCAGGGTGAAGAAATGCTAGTATATGAATTCATTCCAAATGGCACGTTGCAGGATAGTCTTTCAGGTACTTGTCTTATCCTTTATGTGGCACTGTATTCATATTCATATGGTTTGTGTACAATTCTGAGTATTTTCCCAAACAGGCAAATCTGGAATCAGGTTAGACTGGATGAGGCGACTTCGTATAGCCCTGGGAGCCGCAAGGGGAATACAGTATTTGCATGTTCATGCTAATCCTCCAGTTATACACAGAGACATAAAATCTAACAATGTCTTACTGGATGATAAACTGAATGCCAAAGTCGCTGATTTTGGTCTGTCTAAGCCTGTGGGTTCACCAGGCCGGACTCATGTGACTACTCAAGTTAAGGGAACAATGGTCAGTCATACTTTTAACACTATCATTAAATCATATCCTCAAGTACTGAAGTTCTCAATTATGAATTCGTTAAATCAAAATTAGTGGATGGACTAATTCAGAACTGAGAAAATTGGGATTTTCCATGCAGGGCTACATGGATCCTGAATATTACATGACTAATAAGCTGACAGAGAAGAGTGATGTGTATAGCTTTGGAGTGTTACTACTTGAGCTTATAACAGCAAGACCACCAATTCATAAAGGCAAATACATCGTCCGAGAAGTGAAGCAAATGATGGACAAAACCGAAAATCTGTATAACCTTCAAGACATCATAGACCCTCTCATTGTCTCCAATGCTGCTCCTGAAAGTTTGGAGAAATACGTGGACCTGGCACTAAATTGTGTCGAAGAAGAAGGAATTCATCGACCAACAATGAGCGAGGTGGTGAAACAGCTCGAGAACATCACGGAACTAGCCGGGATGAACCCAAATGCCGGATCAGCATCAACTTCAGAAAGCTTTGAAAGAGCAAGCAGAGGATTGAGACATCCTTACAGTGATGAAAGCCTTTTTCTTTACAGCGGGGCATATCATCATCCAAGGGTGGAACCAAAGTGAGATTGCATTTCGGGTTTTTCAAGCAATAATAGTACCTGTAGTAATAATAATATATGTTATGTACATTTTCTGTCCTTATTCTTTCTAGAGTGAATGTGTGTTATATTTGGATGGAACTGTCTACTGAGGCTTTATTACATCCAAAATTTGTCTCTGTTGAAACTTTGGGATTTCTGGTTTCATTATGTTAAATATCTTTACTCTGCTAAATCAATGTTAATTATCTATGAAGGGGCAAAAGTAATTAGTAATCCATGGCGGGAGGGAACAGTTTCACTTTTCTTCCTTTTTCATTCCAGCACCAATTGGCTTCAATATCCGATCCAATCTCTGTGATTTTGCACTTAAACTTAAAATTCGATCAATCCCAGAATCAAGTACGCTATTGTCAACTAGCCACCCCAAATTTTCCTTCCCCTGTACATCAAAATGGCCTTGCCGTAGTAAAATCCTAGGAATTTCTTCTGGTGCAAATTAGGATGGAATCGTTGCCGGGCATCCCTTCATCATCAGCTTCTGAGCGAAAACATAACCTAAAAAGGTATTCTTTGCCAAAATTGTACGAGAAAAAAAGAATGATAAATCCGCCAAAGAAGAGTATTTCTCTGTAGCTTCTTTGAGGATGAAAGGGATTATGTAAGAAAGTTCCTAGCTTTAAGATGTTGTTGCTCGTCTGAGATTTGGGAGCTGCTGTTTGCAAGTTCTCTGTGATCCCAGTAGAGAGGTCCCCGGGTCGGTTGAGGTTTTGAGCAATGAAATTGAAGATCAGTGCAGAGCTGCCAAGTGTATTGAGCCCTTCTTTTAAGATATACCAACTGTTTTCAAAGGCGAAAACATTTAATCGGGTTAAGGAAATGGGATCACAAATGAATAAAACAAACACCTTGGCTCCAGGTTTTGGTGGTTGGTAATTAAGAAGCAAAGAGAGTTTAATTTGATGATGTAGTTGCGGCAGGGACGCAGGGAGAGTTACATTGTATGTGTCTCCCTACTGGAAAATGATCAAGTCAACTGTGCTGAATCCCACAAGGAACTAGCAATAAATGAGCCTCACAAAATCCACTAACAATGGTGGCTCAAGGACAAAGGATGATGATACATCAGAAGTAGGGTAAACAAGATAATTCAAGGTAGGAGGAAGACTTGCATTACATCAGAAGGTGTTTATTTGTTGTTCTATTTATAGGCAATTTCAATCCTGTCATAACTCACAAGATTGCAAAATTGTATGTGTGGCTGCATGTGAATAGCTTGATTCTCTTTTTTTTTGTTTTTTTTCCAGCTCTTTTCCCTTTAAAATTACTTGGTACTTCTAGAGAAATGAGTCGGTTGATTCCTCACAAACTGGACTTGTCAAATACCCATTGAAGGGCTTTTTATGGATGCTCGTTGGAAATTTGAAAAAGAAAAAAAAAAGAGAAAAGAAAAAACCATAGTTGCTTAAGTGCTGTTAGCTTTGTGGTCTTGTTCTGTTACTATTAGGTCAGAATTTCTCTTGGCTATGAGTGCTCAAAGAAAACAACTTTTTCTGTTGGCTGTTTCAGTCCAGCTATTGCTGATAGGGGCTACAACAAATCCAGATGATTGTAAGTTTGTTCCAGTGCATGAATTTGATGTCCTTTTCTCATCTGTTATTAGATAAAGTTTGTTTCTTATCCATAATGAACAAGGAATATTTTCTCTCTCGTATTGATTTTGTACATGCGACTTCCTAGGCATGATCCTTTGCTGAAAGATAATTGCAATTGTCTTCCGAACTTTGGCAGGCTGCCTATATTTGTTGGTCATAAATTGACTAAACTACTGCAATTTTAGGTGCTCACGGTTGTGAACTTACAAAAATGCTTTTTACTTTATCTTGAAGCTGAACACAAAGAATTCAACATAGATGTTTTTTTATTTAGATCTCATTAGCAGCAACATCTATGGATTATTCATGATCATATATTCTCTAGCTTTCTTTAGAGATATGTACCTTATCCTAAGAGAAGGTCTTATGTGTTCAGCCTGTCGTTACTTGCGTAGAAAGCTTTCTGACCATGCACGCAAAAAAGTGCATTCAAATTCATTTCTCAATAGAATTTTTGTTGCTGAAATGATTTGTTAATTTGGCCCAGGTATCGTCAAAACCCAAATATTATCCCCTTTACATTTTAGTCTGATCACCCCAGCTAATGTTTTAACTTGCGTTGTTTAACAAGCTGCAATAAGATTGAACCTGTTGTACAGATACCGCTCTACAGTCTATTCAAAACCTATGGGAAAATGTACCACCAAATTGGTCTGGCTCAGATCCGTGTGGAGCCAATTGGGATGGAATTGGATGCATCAATTCACGCATTGTCTCCATGTAAATCTACAACGTTTAACATCTTTGTTTGTGTATTTTAAGTTTTTCTTTGTCATTTTGGGAGGTGATATGCTTATTGGTTTCAACAGAACATTAGCAAGCATGGGTTTGAGAGGCCAACTCTCAGGAGACATTGCTGGCTTAACTAAATTGCAAACTCTGTAAGGTTTTCTGTCTGGGGTTTTTTGTCACTGAGCCATTCATTTTTTACAATTTTTTCTTTTATTGGTACAGTTCGTTTCTAAACATTGTTGCTCTCCACATTCATGATTTTATGTGCTTATGAACGTAAATGTTAAGTCTGAGTTTCTCTCTTTTTTTTTTTGATGAACTGAGTTTCTCTCTCTTTTTTTTTTTATTTTTCTGTAGGGATCTGTCATACAACCAAGGATTGACGGGGCCTCTTCCCGAAGGGATTGGATACTTAGCAAACCTGAGAAACTTGTACGGTGGTCTTAGACTGTCTTCAAGACTATTAACTAGAACGTCAAATAACCTTTATTACTAACATTAGTTTGCTCCTTCCTGGATCACAGAATTGTAGTCGGTTGTAGCTTTTCTGGCCTAATACCGAATACGATTGGATCTCTCAAGCGGCTTCATTATCTGTAAGGACCTTTCTATGAATCTACAATGATATTCATGTCATATGGTTCAGAAAAAAAAGAAGAACCAGTATTCTATAACAGGGTTTTAGTCAGTGGGGTAGTATCTATTAAGCACTTGGCTTGCTGAAGTCATAAAAGATCAATGGAGACTCTATATGATTTGATGTCAACCGATAGGCTAAAATTCTTGTCATGCTAATTGCAGAAGCTCAGTTCTTTGGTTGAATTGTAATCACAAAATTGCATGATTAGTTGTTTGATTTCATCATCATATGTGGGGTTCTAATTTATTTTCTAACAAAATATGTGGAATTCTTAATGTACCTTCTACATCTTGAATGTGTAAAGATGTATCTAGGGGAAAAAAAAAAACTAAAAAAGATGTTTGAAAGGGAATCATCTGTTCTTGAAAATGTAAATAAAATTGCTGATGAAAAGAAGAGAGAACTAGCTTGGAACTTACTTGGTTGTCTTTTTCATATGCTGTCTGGTGTTCCTTCAATTTTCAGCTTATTGTGTGAATTTTTCATCTCTGTATTTCGCACTGCAGATCCCTCAATTCTAACAAATTTATTGGACCTATACCACCTTCTATTGGTGCATTGTCAAGTCTTTATTGGCTGGATCTTGCTGACAACAAACTAAGTGGGAGGATACCTGTCTCAAGTGCAACTGAACCTGGTCTTGATCTGCTTGTCAACACAAAACACTTGTAGGCATCAGCATCCATAACTATATTGATTTTCCTTCTCCCACTTAGTCCGTTTATGTATCAAAATGATTCGTATCTGAATTTATCAGTATTTTACAGTCATTTTGGGAAGAATCAGCTGTCTGGGGAGATACCACCGCAACTTTTGAGTGCTAATATGACGCTGATTCATTTGTAAGCCACTTTTATTTACCTTTTTGTCTTTTCTTACTACAGACTACATAGTAGCTGACTGGAAAAGCAAGCTGTTCCTGCACTGTTTTGTCTGCATAGCACTAAATAGGATATATATATATATATATATATATATATATATATATATATATATATATATATGCTTCCAGTTCAGATAATCCTAGCAAACCGGTTAAAGGGAAGTTTTTTGTGATGGGTCTAACTGTCTAAGCAGTCGATCCGCGTGTCAGTTTATTAGTTTGTACATTCATCCATTTGGAGTAAATGTTTTCAATGTCCAGTCATAGTAATTGACCCTTATATGCTTTAAATGAGGTTCCCTCGCCATGCATATCCTCTGGGAATTCTTTAAAGTTAATACTACTTTCTATCTCACTATGGCTAAGTTTGTGGTTTGATCAGCTTGATGCATGTATTGCTGCTGCATGTTTTACTTTGAGCAGGCTGCTAGACAGCAATGAACTGACCGGAAATATCCCTGCCACCCTTGCAGACGTGCAGTCCCTCGAAGTGGTGTAAGTACTAACATCTCCCTGGCATTGTATTTTCATCCCTGCAGTAAATTTGAGTTGAGTTTTGAGCCTTGTTTTCTGTGGTTCAACAGACGCCTAGACAGAAATTCATTAAGTGGACAAGTTCCCCCAAACCTCAACAAGCTCGTGAACATTCATGAACTGTACGTAGCATGAATGGATCAGTTATTAGAACTTTTTTCGGATCCTGGAATACCTTAGTTTCACTTGTTGCTCCATTTTGATGAACAATGTTTGTCTGTAGGTTTTTATCAAATAATGATTTAACCGGACCCCTGCCTGATCTCACTGGCTTGGATTCACTTCATTATCTGTAAGCAAAAGCTAGTTGAATCCTGAGCATAGAGTATATTGTGATTGATGAATCACATAGTTCAATGTTGGTCAACTGTTCAATGAGAAGTGCATAATATTTTGCTTCTTCTTACATTTTTCCAGGGACATGAGCAATAATACGTTTAATGCCTCAAATCTTACTTGGTTTTCAACACTACCGTCTTTGACAACTCTGTATGTTTCTTGGAATTTGACTCCCTTCATATTTCCGTGACTGTATATGTATTCGTGCCAGCGTTCTTCTTAATAACTGAATGCAAAGATCACCCCGTTTCTTTCTTTTGAAATTTATATCCTCTTACTGGCAGAGTAATGGAGAACACGAATCTTCAGGGAGAGATTCCTCATGCAATTTTCGGTCTTCGTCAGCTGCAATCTGTGTGAGTATTGTGATCTATGTAAGAATGGATTTCTTGTAAAAGTATTCCAAAGGTCCTTACTTATTCCAGTTTTGTCAAAAGCTCACCAAAAGCACAATGTCGTGTCTTTACAGAATATTGAGAAACAATCGGCTCAATGGGACCTTGAGCATTGGCCCGAACAATAGCAATGACCTCCAACTCATTGATTTGCAGAATAATTCCATTGAGTACTTCACAGAAAAAGCTGGAGGCTATGGTATTGAAATCGTGTAAGCATTCTTCTTACGGTTTACTAATTTTTGGGAGTAGAAACTTGAAATGTTGTCTCTATCTTGTTCTGGGCATTTTTTATCTTCCTAATCTCACTTGAATGATTCATCATCAACTTCAGACTTCTTGGTAACCCATATTGTCAAGAGGGAGCAACAAAAAGCTACTGCATCCTTCCTCAAAAGGCAAATTCCTCGTACTCAACTCCAATTAATTGCTCAACACCTGAGTGCAGGCCTGATCAAATAGCTAGCCCCAAATGTATATGTGCCAATCCATATACAGGCATCCTATTTTTCCGAGCCCCTTCTTTCTCTGACTTGGGGAATTCAAGCATATATGCCTCTCTGGAACAGAATTTGATGTTCTCATTTCACTCTCAACACCTACCAGTGGATTCAGTTTCTCTAAGCTATCCATCTAAGAATTTAGACCATTATCTCACATTAAATCTTCAAGTGTTTCCATCAGGCCAAGAACATTTCAATCGGTCAGCAATTGCTGGGATTGGTTTTGTACTTAGCAATCAAACCTTCAAACCACCAAACTCATTCGGGCCCTTTTTCTTCATTGCCAACGTCTATGAGTTCTTCTGCGGTAAACTTTTCTGATTCTGTTCGAGATGCTTTACTACAGTGAAGTGTCTGATTGCAACACAAAATCTCTTTTCTCATCGTATTCTTTTGAACTTTTTAATTCAGGAATTCCTTCAGGGTCACACAAGTCCAGCATCAGTCTCATTATTGGAGCTGCAGCTGGTAGTGTTGTCCTCATAACATTGTTACTTCTTGCTGGAGTTTATGCTCTCCGCCAGAAAAGAAGAGCAGAAGTAGCTGCTAAACACATTGATCCTTTTGGTAAGTTGGAGATTGTATATCCTTGACATTTTACTACTCAAAGTTTGATTTTTACCAAATTTTTTTATGCCTGCAGCATCATGGAACTCGACTAAAACTAGTGCCGGAGTTCCTGAGCTAAAAAGTGCCCGGAGTTTCACATTTGAAGAGGTTAAGAAGTACACAGATGATTTCTCTGAAAATAATGACTTGGGATCTGGTGGTTATGGCAAGGTCTGCCAAAGTTCTTAGTGTCATTATACCTACACATTTGCATTTGCCTGCTTCTGCATTACAAAATTAATCACTTAAGCAAATGCCAGAAGAAATTGTGATTTATCTGCAGATTATCTAGACTATTTGCTCCCTGAACTGAGAATGTCTTTATAAGACTATGCAATGCCTTTTGCAGGTATATAAAGGAACTCTTCCTGGTGGACTTATGGTTGCAATTAAAAGGGCTAAGCATGGATCTATGCAGGGGCATCTTGAGTTCAAAACAGAAATTGAGTTACTCTCCAGGGTTCATCACAAGAATCTTGTCAGCCTGGTGGGCTTTTGCTTTGATAAAGCTGAAGAAATGCTAGTATATGAATTTATTCCAAATGGCACATTGAAAGATAGCCTTTCAGGTACTCCTTCTATTTTGGATTAGGTTTCAGGTACTTCTGATAGCATCATAAGTTCTGTGCTCTCCATTCAGTTCCACTATGAATTTTTCTGATCTAGAGAAAAAATAATCATGAGATTTCTGTTCTGAATGGTCTATAATCAGCTGTTGATACGAATCCATTAAAAGATGTTCCTCCTGAGATATGTCGGTGTCAACTATCCAATTCAGTAACTAGAAATTTTTTCATCTACCCTGTAAACCATTGTAGCTGGGAAGAATTGTCAGAGTTATAGAGTACTATTTTGACTGCTTTCTGTGCAGGGATTTCGAGCATCAGGTTAGATTGGATGAGGAGACTTCATATAGCCCTTGGGGTAGCAAGAGGGATACAATATCTACATGATCTGGCCTATCCTCCAATCATACACAGGGACATAAAATCTAGCAACGTCTTGCTGGATGAAAAATTGAATGCAAAAGTTGCTGATTTTGGTCTGTCTAAGCCTGTTGGATCACCAGATCACTGGACTCATGTAACGACCCAAGTCAAGGGAACATTGGTCAGTTAACTTCCCTTTTCAACAGTTCAATTTTTGCATCTGCCAGCATCTAAACTTGGCTTGTGTACCTGTTCGGTTGTAGGGGTACATGGATCCTGAATATTTCATGACTAATAGACTGACTGAGAAGAGCGATGTTTATAGCTTTGGAGTGTTACTGCTTGAGCTTATAACAGCAAGACCACCAATTGAAAAAGGGAGATACATTGTTCAGGAAGTGAGGCAAGCAGTGAACAAAACCAAAGACCTTTGTAACCTTTATGAAATGATTGACCCTCTCATTGTCTCGGATGTAACACCAAAAAGTTTGGAGAAATTTGTGGACCTGGCATTGAGATGTATCCAAGAAGAAGGGGTACATCGGCCTACAATGAGCGAGGCGGTGAAAGAGCTCGAGAACATCATGGAACTTGCTGGGGTGAACCCGAATTCTGAATCAGCATCAACTTCAGGAAGCTATCAAGAAGCAAGCAAGGGATATGAACATCCTTACTATGGTGAAAGTTTGTTTGTCTACAGTGGAGGGTATTCACCCATGAAGGTGGAACCAAAGTGAGATTAATTAATACTGGTGCGTTGTTGTTAATTAAAAGGATCATCAAAACAGGTTTGCATATTTCCACTTCTCATCCTTCCTAGATTGTACAAGTTAGGGTACTAAATTTGCTTGTGGCGCAATTCGGCTTTGGTACTGATGTTTTCTTGTAGTATACATTTTCTCGTTGGAGCATTTTAATGTACATTTCTGATTCTGTTTAAGGATGATAAACAGCTTTGCTGTACCAAAGTCAGTCCTTACTGATCTAGTGAAGCTTTGTTGGATAAGAAAACCAAGAACTCCATGCATTGCCGATACTGATAGAATTATTCCGTTTCCCGAGTACATTTTATACTGAGAAAATTATAATGTACATTTTTTTGGCAAATGCAATTATTTTTCTGAGACGGATGTGGTATATTTTTGTAAAAGATGGATATGTGTGTATGTGAATTGTGAAGTAATGGAACTCTTATGTTTGAAACATTTCTCCAGTGTGTTTTTTTTTTTTTTATTACAGGGTAAGTAAAAAATAAATTAAAGAATTGAAATAAAATGGAGAAAACACCTTCACTAGGTATAAAACTAGTGTGTTTTCTTTTACTGGGAAAGTAAAAAATAAATTTAAAAATTACAATAAAATGGAGAAAACACCTTCACCAGGTATGAAACTAGTGTGTTTTTTTTTACTGGGAAAGTAAAACATAAATTTAAAAATTACAATAAAATGGAGAAAAAACCTTCACCAAACAAAGATATTGATGTGACTTGTGAGTAGACCGGCAGAGGATCCTGTGCCGAGTAGACCTCTACATATAAGCTGATGCTGATTTCATTGAAGGCTATTAATTGAAACCTCCACACCAAAAAAAAAAAAAAAACAAAACAAAATATGCTACGATTATTATTATATTATTGCAATGCCAGTATTGGCATTGGAACTGAACATTTTACTCCATGATCAGTAAACACGATACCATTAAAATACATACTGTAATAGTTTACTTTTAGTAGTATTATAATTTATACTCGCTCCGTCTTATAATTATTGTTCAGTTTGAGTTTCCATTTCTAGTTTAAATTGTACTAAAAGTGAAATCTCAGACTGGACAATAATTTTGGGATAGAGAAAGTACTTAAAAAAAAAAAGAAAAAAAAAACAATTAAACTAGAAATTGAGTCTGTATCCAGTGCATCCAGGGATACCGTGCACCCCAAATCGGAATCAACAAAATTCGGCGGCTCTTCTTCTTCGTCAACAAATCCGACACCCCAAATCAGAATCAGAATCTACCGAAATCCACCGCCTCTTCTTCTTCGGCCTTCTCGTTCAGCACCGCCGTTACCAGAATCGATTCCCGCGGCCACCGGAATCGTAGGTCACCAACCAGCCCCGGCTTCGCCGCCCCGCCGAACACGCCGGTTTTTATAAGGTGAGTCATTTTTTCGTATGTGTGTGTGTAAGAGGAATGTGTGTGTGAGGAGGCGGTTGGGATCGATTGGCCGGAATTCTTTGGGTTCAATTGAACGCGATCGGGGGTGCACTGCCGGAATTTGCAGAGGTACCGGAAATGGGTGGATAACTAGCAAATTGTATGGACAGGTAGCTACATAGAAGCACATTTAAAAAAAGTATGGATAACCAATTTACACCCTGTGGATAATTAGTATAAAATAGGTGGATAACCACAAACAAAGTTTGGATAACCAATTTACAACTTGTGGATAACCAGTTTACACCTTCTGGATAACCAGTATAAAATGGGTGGATAACCAGCAATTATAGCATGGACAACCATCATATAATATTGCTGTTAATTAAAGAAGAAAACTATGTGTGTGTGTGAGGTGGCGGCTGGGATTGTTGGCGGCCGGAATTCTTCAATTGGAATTTATTTTGGAGCCGCCTAAAGTTGCAGGATACACCGGAATTTGCAAGGGTACACGGTGTCCTCGGGTGCACCAGATAATTTGCCTAGAAAATTATTCCGGACGGAAACACAGCCAAGAAGATGCATTTTAAAATATTGTCCCCGTTGACCTTAAGGGGTTTAACTCCCGGAGTCACTCATTATTCAAAAACTATAGTCGGTGAGGCTTGTGAGTTTCCCCAGGCAGAAACATCGGAAAACCAATACATTAAAGTCTTCTGTCGGTTTCAGAACCAAAGATGCATCGAATTAGCACAAGAAGGTTGAACAAAATTCTCATTGAACAACTTTTAATTCTTCATAGATTACATCAATTAAACACCATAATTTTTCAAATAAGCTATCTTTTGATGTTGCAACAAAAAGAAGATCAAAATTACACTAAATAATCAAAGCATACATGTAATTTGATAAACTAGCTAAAATGTTGTGAAAATTTGATCTATAACTTGGGCTTCTCCAAAAGAGCAGAAAAATACCACTCATTTTTATCAATCCCGCGATCCACCTTCATCCCGGTACTCCATCTCAATTTCTTGAACCCAACTCGATCGATCATCGGAACATAAGTCGTATTCAGCTGCGAACCAAAGCAGAAGAAATGGTCAAGCCAGAATATCCCACCAGGCCTCAACACTCTATAAATATCATAAAACGTCAGTTCCAGCATCTCATCCGGAATCCAGTTGCTCAGAACATGCATCGAGTGAACAATATCCAGCGTGTTTTCGAAGAACGGAAGCCGCTGCGAAACCGTAACGTGCATCGAAATCAATCCCCTGGATGCAATGAAGCTGTTAAACGGACCATCCAAATTCATCGAAGTTGTCACAATGGTCACATTTCTTTCCTTCATCCTAGCAGCAAATGTACCCGACCCGCCTCCGATATCCAACCCGATCCGAATCGTCCCCGGAGGTTTCACCTTCAAAACCTTATCAATCCCGAAATCAATCCCGCCATTGTCGACCAACCACCTCGTTTTCTCCCTTCCCTTCAGATCAAAACAATCATTGCAATCGAAATAGCCCGGCATATTCCTCCTGTTATTCAAACAGCTGTAGTTCTTACATGAATAAGGATCCCAAATGATACTCGTGTCCGATGGAGTTGACCAGAGACTCTCCGGCAACGGAGTCGGATCGGCGTAATTCCGAGGAGATTTAGGATGACACCTTCTCCTCGGCATTGGTTCACATCCTTTCATCATAAGCTTTTGAGCAAACACATCATCTACAGGGCATTCTCCCCCAACCTCGTACTTCATGAACTCCTCCAACTCGTCTTTATACTTCAAACAGGCTCCACCAACAGAAGGGTAAAGCTCGTCTGATCCGACCCGAGAATAGTACCCCAGCGGAAGCTTATGAGGACCCATTGCCCGCTTAGCTTCAGGAGACAACCCATTTAGCAATTCGTTGTAGGAAGGATTGATTTGGGTAAAACTCACACCAGACAGGGGATGTTCGTCGATGGCTTCTTTGAATTCGGTGAGTTGTTCCTGAAGGGATTTGGAAAGAATGTTGGTGGCTTTCAGGTGTTCTTGTAAATCGGAGATCTGGGTTCGGCTGTTTGCGAGCTCACGCTTCGTTGCGTTGAGCTCGCGGAGGAGTTTGGAGTTATCCCAATACAGGGGAAGGTTGAGGTTCTGAGGAATGGGAACATTAGGGCCTGTGAAGATGTAGATGGTGACAAGATTTGTGAGTATGACTAAAATAAGTATCTTGAGTTTGAACTTGGTTTGAGATGGTTGGGAGGATTTCCTAATCGAAGAAACTCCGTATTCATCATCAGCACTTCCCATTGCTGATGAATTTTTGTGGAAACTATTTAGGTTGAAGAACAGAGAAGAGGAGAAGAGAGTGCAGCAAAACTGAAAAATGTTCTGAATAAGAAGAATTGGATGGTTTGGACTTTGGAGGGTTGAAGTAATAAGAAATTATGCAAGTAAGATCAACTTCATCCTATATTTCATATGTGTAAGTTGAAGAATTTTTTAAAGAATTTGTGTTTGCTTTGATAGTTTGTGACTAAAATGTTAAGGGCGATGGAAACCAGCGTTGTATTCGATCGAGGGAGACTGGCCAGGCTACAATATCATGTGACAAAGTAAACTGATCCAAAGATCCATCTCAATTGTTATTTGTCGGTTTACTTAGTGCACCGCTTTTGCTTATTTTTTAACAATTAAAAGTTGACAAAATTTTATTTTATTTTTTGACTTGGATGTATTTTTCTGCTATGATCTTTGAATTTTTTTTTAATTTTTTTTGTGATCCTATTAATAATTAATTAGTTAGTCAAACTATTTTATTTTTCTTTGTTGGATCTGATTAACTTCAATTACTCAACTCAAATCTTATATTCAATCTAAAAAAAATAAAAAAAAATTTGAACTTCACAATTACATATTTGGAGGATGTACCAATTTTAACTTTTGGTTTAAATATAAATAAAAATCTGAAATAAAAATATTCATTTTGGTGATAGAGAGTGCGTACAAATCTTAATTTACTTAAAACCGACTTTAGATAATTGCTTTAGTAAAAGAGAATGTGAAACAATTTTAATTTCTTTAACATTAACTTTATATTTACTAGTATTAAGTTCTTCGATTAGTGGTGTTACTACTATCCTAATTCTCAATAGCTGCTGAATTGTGAACCCAATGTCTAAAAAGTTCGATAAGCAATGCTAGACATAAGCTGCCCCGTTAGAATAACTTTGAGAGTATGTATAAAAAGTTGTCAAAATAGTTGACCCTTGAAATATCAAATATGCTCGACGACAAACAAAAAAACAAAAATCAAAATATTCAAATTAACAAAAGGAAATGTCATTCACTTCAATTCATTTAAAGACGTGCAGTTGGCCTCATTTGGAAAATAAAAGGTGAATGAAAAAACACGCAATGGAAATGGAATCAAACAAGAATCTTGTGGAGAAGAAAGTGAATCATCTACTAGCTAGGGACTATATGACATAATGTATTTACGGAGACTTACTATCGTCTTATATAACTTGGTCTATCCCATTTGCAAACGCGTACGTCTTTTTTGCTCAAAGAGTACTATATAGATCATAAATTATGTTACATGTCCCTTAAATTCTTTCCTAATTGTAATAACTTGAGAAATAAGCGTATGGAAAATTGGAAACTAAAGAATAATAAACAGGTACTCCCTTTGTCCCATAATGACGAGTCCATATCCATCACCGAGACTGGACCGGCCCGCCAACGGTAGGAAGAGTCCAACCGGGACTCTTGGGGCGGTGTAAACTCCTGAAACTTAGTTGGATTCGGAAATATTCTAGGTAATCTCATACCTGTAAATAAGGTAGCTCATACCACAATACAGGTACGCAATCTATAGCCGAATAAACTACCTACCTAAACTCTATTACAACCCTTTTACTGACTTAAGCATCGGAGTGTCTACCCTCGGGAGACCCCGCGGCCTTGTGTTGCAGGAAATCCTAACCGGAGTTCCACCGTTAAACTGGCAGTGCGTATCCAAGCATCGTCAAGTGGCACGCCCAATGAGACCCAAAAATTAGGGTTTGTGTCACAGAAACCTTCTCAGGTTTCCTTAACATCTTTCTATAACAACTAGGGTTGCCGGAACAATCAATATGATGGTCAGAGTTGAAGAAGACGCCGGTAGCACGGCATCCTCCGGCCACCAGCATAGTCTAGGGGACGATACCCCCCTAGCCGAATTCCAACGCCGGCAAGAAAAAAAAAAGACAGGAAAAAGCCACGACGGAGAACCTGGGAAAGAACCGACAAAAGAGCGTTTGATTCTTGCGCTTCTCAGCCCGATCCGAAAAAACAAAAAAAAAAACTGATCTTCCACCCGAAAAAGAGGATATACCTCCTCCTCGAAATACCCCCGCTGCTACCAAGCGTTTGGAAGACCAGAAACTAGCCAAAATCGAGGTTGAACTCAAGAAGCTAGGCGATGATAGCGATCAACAACAGAGGATGCGGAGATATGTTCCTGAAGAAACCAGGCGGCGTTGTCTCCTTGGACAACCCGACCCCACAGAACAAGAGTTGGAGGATTTGATTGACGAAAAAGAAGCTCGCAGAACCCTAGCCCTTCTCTAGAAGAAACGAGGCAAGCGGAAAGTCCAAGAGCAGGAAAATTACCAAGAAACCGAGGGGTACGAAAACCCCCACGAAGAACGCTCGTATGCTACCAGAGATACCATATTTTGGAACGCCTTCAAAGAAAGATACCCAACCTTCGATACCGCTCTCGACGAATACGACGTGATATACCAACATAGGGACACTGGGGAGAATCACAACTCCCCGAGTGTCGAGATCATCGAAAGAGAACAGGGGAAGCCCCCAAGGTGAAGTAACACACATAATCGCTTAGAATTCAATTAGAATCAAAGAAGCCCTCGAAGAGGTGAGTACAGACATGACTGCGAACCACATCGAGGCCGCACTTATCTGCATCAACATTGCATAATAAGAACATAAAGATATACATATGCATTTGTAGCATAACCCGGAAAATCACTTACCAGCCTCAAACTGTCAGCCTCATTTAGCTGAGCAGCAAACTCCTCAAGAACAGGACATTCGATTGATGGTGGGTTGCTGAAAGTACGGACCACCACAAACGGATCCCCCTCGAACAGCTGAGGGGGCAAGATTATCGCTTCTCCCTCGAGGGGGCCCTTGCCCTTTTCGGCCGCAGGGGGAACTATGCTTGGCCCCACTTCCGGCACTGGATTCTGAACAGACTCAGTAGCAAGGGGCACTGTCTCGATACCCGGCTGGGTGGTTTCCTTCGAGGGCGCATCCATTTTGGCCTTCTTGGATTTTGCCCTATCGCCCACCTTCACGATCCTTTTCTTCTTTTTCTTTTGAGGGGCAGCAGTAACAGTGACATCCTCATATGAATTCACAATTATAAAAGGATCTTCGTCACCAAACAATCGAGACCCAGCATTGCTTGACGACATGACCTAACAACAAAGAAGGAAAAAAAAAATGATTAGTACCTTGATCTTCTTCAACAGAGATTTCGAGGGGAATTCTGGTTGCTCCCTCGACGTTGACCATATCTCTTTCCTTTACATATACAGGGGGCACATAATATTGTATGTCGTTCTATTTAACGACCTTCGAATATTTCAAGATTTTCTCCACATCTGCCTGGAACTCCTCGATGCACTCTTCATCTTCTTGGGTCCATTCATCTTTTATGGCCCCGAGACCCTCTGTCTCTCGGAGATTCCATGGCAAGCAATAACTTGAGGGCACCTTTACAAACAAAAAGTCCGGTATCAATTCCGGGGAACCGCCATACCTCTCGACTATCTTCTTCACGCCGGCTCTAAGGCGTTTTTTTACGATATACCAATCCTGGAACGAGGTCGAGGCCACAACTACTTGAAAAAATACCTCCACAATACCAATCGGGGTATTACTTTTACATGTTGGCATACTCTCGCAAACCCCAGTACAAATGTAATTAAATTAGGGGTGAAACGAGCGAGAGGAGTCCTATAGTGTTGCACAATCTCCTCAAATAGGGGATAGAGGGTAAATCTAAGCCTTAGGTGCATAAATAGGTCATACACGGTAATCCTTCCCCCTGGAGGAGAGTTAGCTCTCTCGTTTCCTAATGGGGCTCTCACCTCTAGGGCTGAGGGGAGGTCATACTTGGATCTAAGATTCTCTACCTTATCAAGTGAATCTACGGTGGATACAAAGTCTAAAACAGTTTTTCTTTCGGAATCCCTAACCATAATTCAGGTAAGGATCTACTCTGGCTACAATTGGAAAAGACAAAAACCGATGAACAAACTGGAGATTCAGATCTGGAGACTTACTATGGGAGAAGGACGTGACCACTCGCCTTTCGAATTGTAGCTTCCCAGCGTTCTTCGAAAACTTCAGTCAACAACTCCCCGGGAAGCAGCGTCGCTGGGGCAGTATTTCTGGCGAAAGCTTGGAAGTTCCGGTTGGAGGAGGGAATGATAATGCTCTGGTAAAGGAGAGTGGATTGGGGGCTGGATTGCTTTTGCAAAGGAGAGGATTTTGTGTTTTTGCAAAGAAGGAAAATGATTAAGTGTTGAAGGGACGGAAGAGTTTTTTTCCTTAAAAACAAAATTGATTCCCCCACGTTCCTCTAATTATGGACCACGACATGACAGTTATTGCGGGCTTTAAGGAAGTAATGATGTTGAGGCTGCCGTTTGGGGAACGTGCCCGCTAATAACTCACAATTGAAAATTTGGGCGGGATTGGGAAGCGGGTCATCTTCCCGGGCCAAGACCTGACCCGCCAGTTCCTCTCGATCCTCCGAGATCGAGGGTTGTGCGTTTGCATCGGGGATGTGTGGCATGTGACTTGATAATTAACTGAACGAGGGTGGTTATCCACTCTCGGCTGTGTCTCAGGTAATACTTATTTTGCGCCAAGCATTGTTTGTTTTTACGTCACTAATACATAGTAAGGGCATTTGACGAGTCCATATCCATCACCGAGACTGGACTGGTCTGCTAACGTTAGGAAGAGTCCAACCGGGACTCTTGGGGCGGTGTAAACTCCTGAAACCTAGTTGGATTCGAAAATATTCCAGGTCATCTCATACCTATAAATAGGGTACCTCATACCACAATACAGGTACGCAATCTATAGCCGAACAAACTACCTACCTAAACTCTCTTACAACCCTTTTACTGACTTAAGCATCAGAGTGTCTACCCTCGGAAGACCCCGAGGCCTTGTGTTGCAGGAAACCCTAACCGGAGTTCCACCGTTAAACCGGCGGCGCGTATCCAAGCATCGTCACATAATTATTTTTTAGTTTGAGTTTTCATTTCTAGTTCAAATTGTAGTAAAAGTGAAATCTCAAATTGGACAATAATTTTGAGACGAAAGAGTAACTAATTTGTTTTAAAGAAACTTTAATATAGAAGAATAGTCATTTGTTTGACTGACGGGTCCAAGACTCGAGGTGGTTTTTTTTTTAAAGAAAAAAAAGGGTCACAGTAACTTGAATTGTTCGAAAAAATGATAGACTTATATCGAAATTTCTAATTCCTGATTTCAAAATTTCGCGCCTTA